CGATTGCTCTTGTTTTCCTGTGACGCCATCTATGACCAAGAATTTGACTTCTGCCGCACCCATACGTCACATCCGTTTATATGGTGGGCCCATTCATACCATCCATTCATTCATCCACATATCGTAATTTTGACTTGACCAGAGAACGATCAATCTCCAATTCAGTACCCCGAGAGGTATAATTTGTTATGGAAACATGGAGTACTTCGTAATCCGACAGATTTAGCGTGCACCAGTCACCATTTACTACACGGGGAGCTTTCGGTCCGCTGAATTTGAACTCCCATTCTCACAAACGTATGTCTATCGTAACGTATATCCATAAGATTAGGTTATTCCCATTGTGAGAATACTTTGCTTAAACAGGATATAGTGTTTAATATACTTAATTGTAAGTACAAATGTTTTAAAAGTTCGATTTAGTCATGCCGTAACTAATTTTATGCCGATTACTTTTCTACCATAGATGTTTCTTATATCATATATTTTATTAGGTTTTGTATAGGTGTTATATCATAGTGAGTCTTAGTTTCTTCAAAACTAACTACACTGCTAAAAATTCCAGATCAAATTACGGTATAAAGTACCGGAACTTTGGGTGCATCCTCCGTAGAAATCCATTTCTACTGTAAAATATTATACCGTAATTTTTACAGTAATATTTATTTAATTGGGGTGATTCAGTGATTTTACGGTAATTATTACTGTAAAAAATTACGGTGCATCAGATTTTTTTGTTCCATAACTTTTTCCGATAAAAATGGATATTGCGGTAAAAAGTACCGGCTCCCTGAATGCTGGTACCTTTTACTGAAATTTGATCCGGAATTTTTTGCAGTGTACACGAATACTCCATGTGAGAAATAACTTTGATCCTTACTTTTGGGGCAACTAGTTCAAAACTGAAGTTAGTTGTCCCGTTTTTTTAAACTAAACTTTTAAGTCTATAATATTCAGAATGTTATAAAAAGTTTTTATTTTACTGGTTTAAATATTCTTAGCAGCTTAAATAGCATTTCTTCATCTTAAATTTTCATCATTATTTTTATATTGTATATTTTAGTGGTATGCATTAAAGATACAAAAGTGTGTTATTCTTCTTTAACACTGCGCTTTTCATTACACATTTAAAAACATCAATTAACGATTTTCTTTCAAATGTATAAGCTTAATACTAATGAAATGAACAGTCATAACAACAAAGGTATTATTATTCAATATATTTGCACCAATAAAATTTACATAATTCGCGAGGGGAAAAACAACCATTAATCTTCAAAAAGGAGAAGCAGGAATTAAACTAATAAAAAAACAATTACAAAAAATTGTATAACACATTAAAAAAAATAATAATAACCGAAACAATATAAAAACAAAACAACTAAAACAATGTCGTCATTTACACCATCTTTTAGTCTCCTTTATTTTTTTCAAATAAATACATAAACATTCACTTCTTTTTGAAATTCTATGGACGACATCCCAACACGCATGGCAACATAGAATTCATATGTACAAAGATTTTCAATAGTCTCGTATATATGTATAATATTTATATAAGTCTCTTAGTGGTCTGTTTATGAGTGGCACACTTCTGATGCGATTCCCTTTTTACCGAAAGAAACAACGATTTTTTTACATACATACATTTGTTTAATATTAACCATGACTTTAGAAATATGTCAATATAATTTTGAAATATGTCAAAAATTTTTTGTTTGTGGGTACTTTTTTTCCAAAAAACTCAGTAATGAGCAATGATTTTTTAATTTTTATAATACATATTTCTGCTTCGTCACTTATAAGCTCATGAAGTGAGAGTATTTTAAAATAGTTTGACGCTTAACAGGAACTAACGTTACACAAATATTATTAAAAGAAAGAGAGGGATTGAAAATGCGTGAAAAAACAAAATGTATTACTTTATTGTGTTTGTACTAATACCCATTGTATAAGCAAATGACATTTTAATAAACATAAATGTAATTTTTTTTAATTAATCGATTAAATGGATTAATAATTGATTCATAATTAATGAATAATTAATTAATGTTAATTAATATTAATTAGTAATTAATTAATAACAAATATTAATAAAAAATTAATTACATGGGGCTTATTCTATCTGTATATATTATGTATTCAAATTCTTATAATTGTTTTGACGTAATAGTTATTACGTCATAATTATTATTATGTAATGTCAGGACTTATGTGTGTTATATTTTGTTATGCCAATATTAATTATTAATTTTTTTCAATTTTTCATAATAATTTTCAAAGTTTTGTTTAAAAATAAACTTTTTTAAAAATGCATAGTATGATCAATGACAAAATTTATTCATAAAAATCTTACTATTATGTTTGCTAGTAAATTTTCATTTAGTTACTAATTTATTTATTATTAACAATTTAATGTTAATAATTCACTAAATAAATTATAATTGGCACAATAAAAATAAGTATTAATATTAAAGAAGTTTTTGACGTGATATAGTTAATTAATTTATACATTATTATTAGTTTAGTTAACAGTTACAATTAAAAATTTCTATTTTTTAAAGAAATACAAAAGTTATAATATTAAAGTCAAAAGCGAAAGTCTGTTTTATACACGAAATATAAAAGTTACTTATGTGCTCAGATTATCGATATTTTTCGAAGTTGCTCTGAATTAGATTTTATTGCAATTTTTTCAATTAAATAAAATTTAGCAATATAGTGTACTGAAGGAAAAATTCCTTACAAACAAACTTCTGAGCCTTGACCAAAGAAGAATCCAATCAAATAAACATTTTTGACTATACTTATGCTTTTTGTTTTCAAGGTGTGCAAGTATATTTAATGTGAAAGAAAACAAAACAAGGAAGGGATGGTGTGTGTTTTTATAATTAGCGCGTGTTTCGACTAAAACAATTTATTTAAATGTATAGCTGAGATAACTGATTTGAGGGTAAATTTAACGATAAGAAATGATAAATATTAAATTGTTACAAGCATTAAGAAATTTAATGTTCTGCAATTTTGTGAAAAATGTTAAGCATTTTCGTGATCTCTTTAATAACATAGATGTATGAAAAAGTAGTTTGAGAAAAATACTTAGAGAAATTCGTGAAGTTCAGGTCATAAAAACAACAAAGTGCACTTTGCTATGTGAGAAAGAATTTTCTGTTTTCACATTTTCCCCGGCTTCCATCCTTTTGTTTTTTTATTCTTCGCAATATGTATTCTCTTTAGAACCATTAACAAAACTTCGGAAAACGTAAAATAAACACGGCGAGGAAAACATTTTGAATTAAAAAAAAAAAGAGACAGAAAAAATGAAAAAGGAATAGCTGCTGAAAATGAACTTTCTCTCTAAAAATAAAATAAATAAAAAAAAAATATTTTCGCGCACTCATATTCGCTTTTCTACCTTCCCCCTTCCCCTTTCCCCAGAAACTCCATCAATGGAAATGATGAGTAAACTTTATATTAAACCTAGATGCAACATCCCCCCTTATCCTGCACCAATTCCAGCTACAGTCGCAGTTAAAGAAAAGCGAAAAAAAAAGTTAGAAAAGAAAATAAAAACAATAAAATGAAATGAGTGAAAATTCTTTATTTTTTTAAAAAAAAATCGTCTGACGCGATCTTTGCCTAGTTAGAAAACTGAAACAGATGTTCCGTTTTCTGCAGTTTTGTACAAGAAGTTGTACGGCTATTTCATACAGGATATATATCTATATATCTGATCCAAGCTAGGATAGTACATTTATATATCTATGTATATCGACCGCTTACGTAGCCCAAGGTGTATGTGCATTTGAAGGAACATAAAAACATGTGCAACTTTTCCCAGAGTTGATGAACGGAGTGGAATAATTTCGAACAACGCTCCCTCTCTCCACCCTCAGCTGAAATATCTTTTGTTTTCCCTCAAACATTTTTCTTTGTTTTTCTTTGGTTCGCGCACCCCCCTCTTTTTGCTTATCTTTCAAAAATAGAGTAAAAGTTTTACGTCTGCCTAAACGAAATTTTTCACCAGGGAAAGTTAAAGTTCAAAACAGCAGAAATGTCAAAATTGTTTTTTTTCTTCTTCCCTTTCCCTTTATATTCTTCTCTTTTGAAAGAATTAAGAAGAAAAAAATTAATCAAAAGAAAATAAAAAGCAACTGAAATTGCAAAGAACTCGAATTTCAATATCTCAGCAAGTTGGTCAGATAGTTATTGGTTTTTGCCTTTTTCTTTATTCATTTTGATTTAACACAAAGTTTGCTTTTGATTCAACTGCAATTCAAAAGTTTAAGTTGCTCATTTAACGTGATGTAATTTCTACATTATTTGTCAAATATGTTTAGTTGAGCAAATGTAGCATCTGTTAAACATAATAAGTTTTGCAAAACCATTATTTAAATTATATGATGTTAATATTAATTATTCTTTAAATTAATACTCTACAGTCAATTTTAATTGATTTACATTGTACTTATTCATCAATTATAATATTTATTAGTCAAATATATTTATGAAAACTGTAAGCTAATGATAATCATACTATTATAATTATTATAATCTGTTTTCACTTACTATTGCTCCATAATTATTTTTCAATAAAAATGCTCAACAATTAATAATAAATATAATAACTTAATTATGATTGTTTCTGTTATCATATAATTAAGGAGTAGTAATTTTTATTAACTGATTTTTTTTTCTAAATTATACTTTAAAAAGAATATTTATCAATGAAAATTTTTTTTAGGTGCATCAAAATCTTTTTGATAATTTCAAAATTTTTTTTGAGTGCATCAAAAATAAATAATAAATGTAGAATTTTTTTTTTAATATGTTATCGACTTTCTTAACAAATTTGTGAGTCAACGTTATTTTATATTAAATTATTTTATAATATATATTAATAAATGATTTGTTCGCAACAAAATACTAATTATGAAACACTAAAAAAATATTCAATATTTTTTATATTATTACTTAAAATGGTGAAATTATTTATTATACAAAATAAAGAAGTTTTTCCTTTGCTTATACAAAAAAAATTCTTTCTAGTAATTTCTAGAAATTTATTTCAATTTCCCATGCAAGAGAGCAAACATATACTTACATTTAAATTTTTTACCAACATTAATAATTTTTCTTTTTTAAATTAAACTTGTTTAAAAAAATAAATAAATTAAATAAAGTGAATATAACTTCCCCTTTCTTAATGTACTCTCTGTCTTTTTACATTTTTACATTTTTGTTTCCTAATGATAGCAACATAAACAATAAAAGAATCCCTTTTCTATATTTACAATAAATGATTTCCATTTCGTATTTAGAAATTTGGCATCCATGTTATTTCACTTCAGTTCTTTTCCTCTCTTCTATGCCGACCACAAGAAAGCTTAGGTGCAGACGATAAGTTCCTCTGCAAATATGAAATTTTTTCTGTACAGTTTCAGAAATGAAATACGAAGAATTCAGTTCAACAAATCATCAGACGATTCACAGTTTCAATAGTCCAAATTTTATTCGGTGGATACTGACACTGGTGGTGCCAAAATGGCGTGACGTCACCAAACTGGAGTCTCTGACATAGTTGGATGACCGGATAAGTTTGCCGGAAATCCGGCAGATGATGATCGTGGTGGTCCGTAAGCGTCTGATGCTAGGCTGAGGACACTGTCCGGGCTAGATCGCTGTGACATGAGATCACCATGCGTCGCCAGATATGGTGCATCTGCCCCTAAGTTGACAGGTCCTGAAAAGGAATTTGAAAATAAATTAAAATTAAGCGTAAAAATGTTTAAAAAATATATAAATGAATGAAAAAATAAAAACTTAAAAATGTATATTTTGTTTATTTAAGGTATATAATACTTCAAAATGTTTTCAATATGCTGTAATCAAATAAATATGATCTGAGTATGATGAAAAGATTAAGTGATAACGGTACTTGAAAATTAAGTAAGACCTAGTAAAAAAATTTAATAATAATTTTACAAGGGTATCAAAAGTAATCAAGTCAAGAGGCAATTATATTGGGGTATCAAAATTGATCAAGTTAAGATGCAATTATATTGGGGTGACAAAAGTGATCAAGTCAAGATGCAATTATATTGGGATATCACAAGTGATCAAGATGCAATATTGGGGTAACAAAAGTGATCAAGTCAAGATACAATTATATTGGAGTATCAAAAGTGATCAAGTCAAGATGCAATTATATTGAAGTAGCAAGAGTGATCAAGTCAGGATGCAATTATATTAGGTAACAGAAGTGATCAAGTCAAGAGGCAATTATATTGTGGTATCAAAAGTGATCAAGTCAAGATGCAATTATATTGTGGTATCTAAAATGGTCATGTAAAAAAAACTAATGATTGTACGGTGTATCAAAAGAGGCTAAGTCGAAAGAACATAAAATGTGTAAGAACGAAAAGATATTATAGGATTTTTTTTTATGTTTTAAATGTACTTTTCCCATTCAAAACTTTTATATAGTTTTTAAATCTTATTTAAATACTTCTCAAAATACTTTTCCATTACCTTGATTACTTTCAAAACGCAAATCCAATTTTTCAATTTACTTTTATGTATATTGTTTATTTTATATTTTTTCAATATTTTACAGGATTTTATAAGATACTAATGAATAGATAGTTTTTACTTTCATATAACATTAAATAGGATTTTTTAACTAACTCTTATTTTCACTAATTAGTTAGGAAAACATTTATAATTTTTTTAAAATACATATCTCATTTTAAACATTTTTTTTTTAAACTAATGTTTGAAACTAACCAGATTTTTTAGTAGTGTTGCATGTAGTTTTTTTATCACACATTTGTTTTCATTAAAACGAAAGTAGAAATTTTAAAGCTAGCAGACAGACGTTAAAAAATACAAACCGTATAAACTTTATGATCAATATTTTGAGACAGAATGTTTGTCAAACATCAAAAACTCAAATAAAATTAACACGTTTTATTTTGTTGAAATTTTATTTTTAAAATACAATTTGCATTTAAAATATCAGTACTGAATAATTAAATTTTGAATTTATTAATTAGCCTTGAAATATATTTTATTTTATTTTTAGTAAATAAATAATCATATTTTATTATATCCTTATTAATCGAAACAATATTATTCAAACATATTCATTTTATACTTTAAAAGGAAACAAAATAAAAATGCTTGGCAGTGTTTTTTTATAAAAGTATCTCAGATAATCAAAAGATTTTAAATTTCACGATGTTTCTTTATATTTTTTTTATAACGAAATTTTTACTTTGAATAGAACGGTATCAAAAGACCATGCTAATCAGAAGTCTTTTGATGTTTGCTTAATGAAAATTTCATTCCGTTGGTAGGCGATATCTAATGATAATTTCCCTTCTTTGAATCAAAACTTCATTAAAAATGTTCAAAGAGTATTTTTGAAATAGCTTTCCTTCCCTCGTAACTAAAAGGAAACCATGTGGAAATTCGATACGAGTAACAAAAAGTTGCAAAAATTTACTTCTTCTCTTTTTAGAAATTGAAGTTTGAGCTTTTGCAAAAATAATCCCGAGAAATGTAGCGAAATTAAAAGGAAGAAAAAAAAATTTGAATATTTTTAAACACTAGATTCATTTTCTTCAGCTTAATTAGAAGTTTCTTTATAAAAGAACATTCGGGAAAAGTTTTAAGATCGGGAAATCTTACGTTTTCAATAACAAAATAGTAACCATTAGAATATTATAGATAAAAAAAATTACATCAATAGAGAGTAAAAAAAAAAGAATTCACCTGAAACAATAGTAATTTAAATTTTTTGTCATCTTTCTCTTGAGTGTTTTGGAGTACATACGGAAAAATCAAGAAGGGGAAGGATATTTTTCGATAATTACAGATCGATCAAAGGAAAAAAAAATATGAAGTGTCATTTGCACATTGATCAGAATACGTAAAGAGATAATAAAAAAAAGAAGAAGAAAGAAAAAAGTAAAATTCTATATGATTCACCGCATTTTTCTCTCTTCTCTTATTTCTTGGGTTTCTTTTTCCACGCAGTTTCCTCTCATGTATTGAACGATTTTTCGATATTGGACATTGGCAGATAAAAGATATTTCGGTTTTAATTAAACTTGGTGACAAATTAGGTGCAGTATATTGGAGAAGAACAACTAAAGAAGCTATTGGTTTCGTTTTTACCCCCCCCTCCTCCCTTTTGCAATATTCACGGATTTTAGTTTCACTAACTGAAAAAGATTCCATTTTTTATTATACTGGGTGATTTTTTTTTTGTGTGTGTTTTTTTCCCAAGGACATCTTTTTACAGTCTTTTATTCGCCAAAGTAAGGAAAGTTATACTTTTTTTTTATCAATAAATTTTTGAAAGTGCTAAAGAAATGTATTTAGTCTTTTTTTTTTCTTCTTAAATTACCAGCACTTTTTTAAGATTATGTTTAGCAAGACGAAATTGGGAATTATTGCTTCCAAAAATTCCTAAAACACTTGGCAAGATATAACATTTTTGAAATAAACCACTCTCTGAGGATTTCACTGTGATCTTTAAAAGCATTATCAAGATAAAAAAAAAGGGAATATTTCTATCATTTATTTCATTTAAAGAGGTATTCTTCATTTAACTATTTTCGCGTTGAAAAACCAAAGAGGAGCTCTCAAATAATAAAATATTGAACTTGCATTTTTAAAATTATTGGTTTTCTATAGTTAACACCTAAATTGAAAAATCTGAAAAAAAAACAAACAAACAAACAATCAAATGAAATAAAAAACGGCTAGACTTTCAAAGCATTTTTAATCTTGAACATATGATTGAGTAAACACTTTGCGTCATTATGACGACCATTCATTTTTTATATAGTTTTTCAAATAGTAATTTACAAAGGCTGTCGATATAACGGGTGAATAAGTGAATGAAGGAATGAGTGACAATTATAACTGAGTTATCTAAGCAATGCTTGAAAGAATCAATAGGAGAAAATAATGAAACAAACGAATGAATAAATAAAGTAATCATATACAGTTTAAAATCCATTATTTGTGTTCTGGACGTCCACAACCAGAAATCTTTTTTAAAGCTCAAATTTTTGTTAAAAACATGTTTTTCTAAAAAAATTTTTATCAGCATTTAACTCTAAATCATGCTTGACTCGAGGCCTTTGACGACAAGTCCACAAAATGCTTTGTTCTCTCAGTTGGTAGGCCACTGTAGCAGCGGTGAGGTTTCATGAGTATTCAGCATATAGTTTTAAGGGTTTAGTTTAAATGATCAGACAACTTTTATTTTTGGTGCTGTTTTAATCCATCTTGATATAGCTTAGTTTCTACTAGTTGGTTCGAGCTATGATGGCTCAAGGGATAGAGCGTTCGCGTTCCAATGAGGTGAACCGGGTTCGAATCCCGGTGATGGCTGGTCGATACTAATTCCGCATCCAGCTGGCACCGACTGTGTACTGACGTAAAATATCCTCAGTGGTACACGGATCATGGATTCTCCTTGTCGTGAGGCTAACCGAAGGAGGTTTTCGTGGTTTTCCTCTTCATGTAACGAAAATGCGGGTTAGTTCCATCAAGAAGACCTCTACGAAGGCGAATTTATCCCAATACCTGATCCAGGAGTTCCTTTTCCTTCTGGATTGCATTCAAAACTACAAGGCTGCGGAGTTGAACATTAGTAGTCGTAAAACCGAAAATTGGGTCGGTTGTTATATAATATTGGTTGGTTCGCCAAACAAACGAAGAAACAATTAATTAGTAATTTAAAAGACAACTGCCTTTACCATTATTGGGTGTGGGACTTTAAAATTGTTTTAATTTATTTAAAAAGATAGCTTTGCAATAAAAATATCAAAAATTTTTTAAAATAAAACTTTTAGGGCGTTGAAATATACATGCAAGTCAAAAAATTGCTCAATGCAAGTCAGTGTTGTTCAAATTGCGGTAATAAAAAATTAGGTTAAAGTTAAGATTTGCACAAAAATTGAATTTTTCATTGGTCTTTGATATTTACCTGGGCCAACAACGGCGGAGAGAGGTTGCTCCATACTAGTTGGAGGAGGAGGAACATTCTGACCGGGTCCTAGTACACCGTGGTATGCCATGCCATCTGGTGGTGGTTGTCCAGGAAAGAAGTCGTAGAAGCCTGGCTGCCCACCATAGCCAAAGTCTCCCGGACTCCCAGAATCTGAAATGACAATGGAAGAAACGTGTTAATTAACCATTATTAAATGTGTCCCCCACCCACGCACTCTAGGTTTTCTACCAAAAATGTTTGAGTATATACTCCCTTCAATCTAAATAAAACTTTTGTAGTTATGAAGTTGATAAAAATCGGCAAAAAGGTTTCCAAAAATGTGATGATTTTAATACACTAATGTAAAAAAATGGGTGTTTGAAACGATAGAAAATAACGGAAAAATTAGAGGATTAAACATTTAATACTTGTGCTAGTACGTTAAAAACGTGTCTAAATGTTTTTTTTATATTTTTTTAAATTTTTTTTAACATCTTATTTCTTTTTCAAACTTTCATTGAAGCCAAAGCAATTTTAATTATTTAAATTTTTAACAACAAAAATTCATATCTATATTTTTTTAAATTTTGCCTGTGAATCCAGTGAAATTTTTGTTTTGTTTAAAGAAACATTTAATGCAATGTTTTTTTTTTTAAGAAAAAATTTGCTTCTTTAAAAAAAAAACCATTGGAAATTATTAATCAATTGTTTGAACAAAATAATATGAATAAATTCCTAGAATTTGAATTATGTTACATTTACAAATTCTCTAAAATTTTAATTTTCTAAAGTTACATGAAAACCAAGACACAATCAAAATATTAGAACTATTCAATACCAAAGGAAATACTATAAGAAGAAATTCCTTCACATCCATATAAATGAAACATTAAAACCAGTGGATTCTAAGGTTACAGTTAAAATTCTAAAGCGATGTTAAAGCAGGGAAGCGATATTGTCAGTGCGAGTGACAGCCGCTTAACCCTAACCGCCGCAAAATAACGTAGCATCGAGTTACTGTATCCTTGTTTCCATAGCAACGAAGAGATCGGTTGATAGGGCTTGGGGGGCCTTGAATATCCGCGAAATTCTATTCCAGATTAAATCGGGAAAGCATTGAGCAGAACTTATAATCCTACCACGGCCAGTTATCGAATACGATATCAATTGGAGGATACATAATAGATGTTCCACAACGTGATCTTTTGTTTCTAATGGATGACTTTGTATGGATTATCCGTATTTTACTCACTTAATGCAACATTTTCTTTCATAACTTCACATTTCCATAATATTTATTTGATTAAAATTTATATTAAATACAAATGTGAGTTATAACAGAACCCAGAAATATTATGAAAACGTGTTAATTATTAAGCTTAGAAAAAATAGCATGGGCTTATTTAAATCGATTTATTTTTTAAAATTTGTTTAAGAAGAATTTCTAATTTTGCTAAGGTTTAGATGTTCAAATAATCATACCAGATGGGATAGAATAGATCATATCATATGGTATAAACCATATTATATGAAATTAATTATTTGTACAATTTTAGTTTAACTTTCTCACTCTACTCATGGGAAGCATGAAATTTGTCAATAATATTACCATTTTTCAGTAATCTTTAAACATTTTATGACATGCATGGATGTAATAAAAATATCTACGCGAAGTAATAAAACTGTAACGCACCATTATATAAAATATATCTTTTCATTTGGTTTCAAGATTAGTTACGTTTCGATTCATGTACACAATAAAAAAATTGAGGTTAAAATTACGATATAAATTTCTGGCACTTTAAGTGCATCATCCATAAAATTCATTTTTACTGTAAAATATTTTACCGTAATTTTTAGAGTTATATTTATTCAGTTAGAGTGATTCAGTGTTTTCACTGCTGATTTTTCTGTTGCTTACAGTGTTTGAGTTTTTATTAGCTATTATTGTAAAAATTGTAGTATAGTAGATATTTTTTTTGTAATATGTTCCGGTAAAAATGGTTTTTACAGTAAAAAGTAGTTGATACCTGAGTGCTGGTACTTTTCACCGGTATTTGATCCGGATTTTCTTACAGTGTAGAATGAATTCCTTACACAATTTTAACACACTAGAATCCCTGGATTATTACTTTCATTTAATGTGATGAATTTTTTTTTTAATATTTAAAACTTTACCAAAAGTTTGTATTGTTGTTGTTGGGATTGTTATTTTATTATTACTTAAAAACATTCTTGTAAGTGTTAGTTTATATTTAAGCTTAAAAACTGAATTTAATAAAATAATTGCTCTATCATAATGCGAAAATACGTAAAATTTTAATAAAAATGGACAATCGTATTTAAATATCAATGGCAATATCAATCGAATGAATAACTATTTAAAATCGTGATAAATGTATGAAATGTTTGTTGTCATCTCAAGTTGCGTTCTCTTTATCAGCAGTTTTAGTACTAAACATAAATTTATTCTCTTAGATATTGTTAACTTGATACAATATTGCTAACTCTATATATCATTGTAGATTCTATATATTATTAATTTGATATATACTGTGCAAATAAAAACATAAAATTTTTAAGGGATTAGATCTCTGCCGCATTTAAAACTTTATCAAAAGTTGAAAAGAATAATATGATTTTTAGAGTTACACATTTATAATTATTTGTAATGCTGAAGTGGATTGATATATTAAACCGTTTATGCTTTCTGATTAATCTAAAAAAAAACTGCTCACATTATAAATAAATTGTTAGTTTTAGTGAAGGTGAAAGGAAATAAATACATTCAAATGGCATATTTTTTAAATCTTAGAGCAATAGAAATTCATATGTTTTGTTATTTATCATTAAAAGAAGGTATATTGACTTAAATCATCAAATAATAAGATAGAGATATAGCATGCTAGTTTGGTGAATAAAAACCTTCTAATTAAGATGAGAAGAGAATAATTTGAGCATCGAATCTTTCCGATTTTGCCAAGTTACCCCTAAAAGTTCGCTATGAAGGTTTTTCCTTCATGCTTCGTTTCCCCCTATGAAAAACCGGCTTGCATTGCTGGGAAGTAAGCGTTGCTTTATGTTTTATGTCTGAGTATTTTTCAACCACACATGGGTACATGATGTTAATTGTAATCGTAATCGAGTTTCAACAAGAAATAAAACTTGGAGAAAGTGAAATAAATGTTTCAAAATAATATGTCTATGAAGCATTTTTCAAGAAATTTCACCTAAATATGTTAACTTAAAGCAACATAAGGTATCGCAACATTTTTCAAAAAAGCAAATAATAAACAAAATTTAAAAGAACCTCCATTTTTATTTTAATAAACGAATTTTATTTTTATTTTTTATCATCCTAAATTTATAGTTGTGGAGTTGTTCAAAGCTTTTAATTATTTTTTAAATTTTATTCATGCATTTTTAATGAAATTTATCTTTAGTAGAAGCTGTTTACGAAACATTATTTTTGATATTAATGCTACTTAAATTTAAGATATCACATATTTCTGAAGATTTTCAATTCGATAAACACTTTTATTATTTTTTTTTTGTTTCTTTTCAAAAAGGAAACAAAAACAAATCTGGCATTATTTTGGCTTATTTTTGTTAAGTTTTCAAAATTTTTATGTGTACGTATGTTTTAAAATATTTGATACTGCAGCGGTAAAAAAAAATAAAAAGTTTGTAGATGAATAAATTACATTTTCAGCCGCAGTTTTTATTTTAATTTTTTAATTAGAAAAACTTCATTTTTCACTGTAAAAGAATGTCGAAATGTTAGAAATGAAATAAAAAGTTGTGCCCTCATTATGATGCGCAATTTCTCGTGAAATTAAAAATGAGAAATTGTTATTGGAAGAATAAACTTTAAACAACAAATCATGATTTGAAGAGATAATCAGGAGTCGAAAACATCTCAGCAGACCCCATCAAATATATCAATGACAAAATAAATGAGGGGATAAATTCTTTTTTAAAATCGTTTCAATGATTTTTAAACAAACAAGCTAGTAAAAGTATCAAATGAAACCCTTTACTGAAAGGCTCTTTGCGAACTGCTATAACCTTAAAACTTTAACCCATGCATTAAATAAATTATAACTTGACTTTGAAAGATTAGATTTCAATAACAAAAATAAATGAAGAATAATTAAAGAAACTTAAAATATCAGTAATCGACATTCGATAATGTATCGCTATAAATGCGTCATAGGCACATGTTGCATGTGGAGCAAAAACAACTCCAGAAAACTCCCCCTTTCACAAAACACGGTTGTATGTATTACCTCCCCCACTATTCTAACTCCCCTTCTCCTCACCACCGAAGCCCCTGGGTCCCTCAGTTGATGCCCAAGATCTCTGGAGCGCGAAATTAAACGAGGCGTCCCGTCGTCCCTTGCGGCTAATCCAAGAGGAACCCCTCTTCCTCCATCCCAGCCACTCCACGTGACCCATGATGGACTATCCGGCTGCACTATTCGAGTTTTCGCACCCCCCACCTGATATTCAGGAGTATTTAGTCGGGATGCAATGATTTTGTGGAGTTTATACCACCCTCCTATTGTTATGGCCGCGTATGTTCTTGGACAAACTTGACGTAGTTATCTAATTAAGGAGGTGGCTTAATTGTAAGGGGGGTGGGTGGGATAAACAAAATTGGTCAAGTGTTCTGTGGGTGAAATGAAAACTTTCGAATATTCTAATTTTGTTGTTGAGGGGAGTAGGAAGATTAGGGAGAGAGTAAAAGAATTTTTTTTTTCTTCATCAAAATACTATAAATTAAACGGTTGAATTAAAGTTGTCTCATTTAATAGTTATAGGTGCCATTGTCAACTTCATAAATACAAAATTTTAAGTTAATTGAAGTGAGAAAGTAATTTCGAAATATGAATAAAAATTTTTTTGCTTTACATTATTTTTAGAGTATTTTTGTACGAGGTTACAAAGTTGTTAAACAAATATTTGGTACCGATTTACGTTGAATTTAAAACACTTGTTATTTTTGTACAATTAAATGTAATTGATTACGAATAACTACCAACAAATGATTTCTATTTTTTTAATAATAATAATTCCTAACAAAAAATTTAAAAAAATTGATTTTGAGCATATTTTCGCAGACTTCACATATAACATAGATACAAATAAAAGGAGCAATTTATTACGAT